TTTTTTGCAGCTTTCTAATTTTGATTAATTTTGGCATGTTATGAAATTATTTTGTGGGTGGTGCATTGTGTCAGGACCCGCCAGCTCCAGTTCCACCTAAAGCAGAGCAGTCCACATCAGCGATGAAGCAGGAGAGACCGAGACCTTATTGTAGTTTTATACTTGTAGCAAGTCTTGTAGCATACGGATGCATACTGTCTTGTGCAACCCATATACTTTTGCATTGCTTAGCTGTTGTGGGCGGTTGTGGAGGAGCACAGAGCTGCAAGACCTGCTCTTGCAGAAGCTAAAGTGTGTGAAGGACTGAAAGAGCCCAGCATACGTCAATATATATACATCAGCGTGTCCCACCCTGGAAAGTATCGGAAAGTCAATGAAAGTAAAACAAGGTTTCCACTAAAAAAGGTCACTGCACTCCTCTCTGCCAGGAAATGTGGTTCCGGATTGTTTGGTGGAGTTCTGCACTGACCACCCTCTTCGACGAGCAGTGCGTTTACCTCACGTGGACCCCTGTCCTATTTGGTCCTACTATGTCCTATTGCTTACAAAGGTAATCAAAGGTAGTTGAATCAACTTGAATGATGTTGAATGCACGCTTTCGTGATCTTTCTTGACCGTGCATCTAAAAGGGTGGTTTTGTATATTGTTGATTATTGTTGTATGTTTTGAGCGGACGTCGAGGCTTTTGGTGAAGACCGTGAGATGTGTGATTTGGAAGCCAGCGCAGTCTGCTACGCCTTGCCGTGGGATGAGCAGTGTGCTGATTTTGAATTCAGAGCGTGTTCATCTATTCGTTTTGGTTTCTATTCTCGTTTCTATTCGTTTCTCTTGGTTGCCGTCGTTTGCGGATGTTAGCTGATTGTTGGCTGGGTTGATCTGGATTGCGCGGCTGAATGCGGCTGAGGAAGCTTTATTGGAATCTCTTTCTCCAGGAGTCAGCCTCATTGAACCACTTTCTTGATGAAAACCCTGAGGCAGGTCACCACTTTCTCATGTTTTGAATTGTTTTGATAATTTTTGTTTCTTTGGAAACTCGCAATTGTGTTTGTCAAGTGTTTGTCGATGTTTGTTGTGCGCGTTAGATCTTGTGAAGACTTGTGGCCTGGCATATCCCGGCATCATTTGATTTCAGACGCGGAACTAATTGCTGCTAGTTGGGCCGCCCGTTGCATCCAATTTGCTGTCGGCCTGATGCGTGTGGTGGTTTGGGCCTTGCTTGGTGCATTTTGCGCCGCTGCGCCCAAGGACGTTTGCCATGATTTGCCCAATATTTTTCGCACCATTTCCTGACAGCGTAGAAAACTCATGAAAACATTGAAAACTCTATGTAAAGATTCGTGAAAAAGAACATTTGTGCCAGGAAGACATGACAGCATCTTTGCCAGAGTCCAGCTGGTTTGTTGCAGATGACTTTGAAAATGAGTTGCTGGAAAGAGCGCGGTCCTTCACTGGCAGCCGTACACTTCATTGCTTGGACTTGTTTGGCTTTAGTGGCAAGGTGTCCCAAATTTGGAGCAAGCAAGGATATGAATCTGAGCGATATGACATCTTGAGGGGGGGGAGGTCAGAGGACATCTTGGGCAAGCGCGGCTTCTTGAACTTGATCGGAAGGGCTTATCTTTGCTGCCTGCAGGGGTCATCATAGGTGGCCCCCCATGCTGCATGTTCATTTTTCTGCCTCTCATTTGCATATGGGATTATGTGTTTAATTATTTCAGGGGTCCTGTGGGGTCCTGTGGGTTCAAAAATAGTTTTGTGGCGTATAAAAAGGTTGTAAAATGTAAATATATTATATATATATGTTTATATTATACATCTTTTTAAATTACAGTATATACAAATACCTGACAAACAGATGTTTTTGCAACTTTATAGAATGAAGCTGGGGTATTTGGGCCAATCCTGCTCCATCCCAAGGAGCTGCAGTGTGCACCAGCGTCATGCTTTTGGACCTCAAGGCAACACAGGAGTCTTCAAGGTTAGAATGGCCAATCTAATTGTGCGCAATCTGTGCACATTTCTGCGAATCCTGAGAATTCTTGGAAGAGATTTCTATGTGGTGCTGGAGCAACCGACATCCAGTTGGATGTTCAAGCTTTCCTGGGTTTTGGCCCTTGAAGCGTTGTTGGGAAGCATTTGCGTGACAACATGGCCACTGGCTGATGATTAGTATTGCTGTGCTGATCTGTACTGTATGAAGACTCAATAGCGCTCACCAATAACGTTACCACATGTATCCATACGTTACCCAATGTCCACTAAATCCTTTGACTTCTTGATGGATCTTGATGGCATATGCCATCGCATGCCTGTGATTGCTTGTGCCTAGGCAAGGGTGCTTCGGCCATGATCTACCCAAGCCAACTCATTTGTGGGGCACGCTTCCAAACCTTGGGGCCATGACCAGGAAGATGACGCGCGCCAAACGATCGCAAATTCAGCAGCGTCTGACCAGGCGTAACGCGCGCCGGGTCAGGCCCCGGTTCTACTATTTCAAGAAGTTTCCTCAGGGTGGGCACACCGGTGGCGTTTCTGGCACGGAGGATTTGGGCAAGACAGCTGATTATACAGCAGAATTCTGCAGGTCCCTCTTAAGAATTTGGATTGTGGCCTTCAACCACTATCACCAGATCTGAGGGGATGTGTGCCAGAGCCCTGATTCACGCGCCAGCTGCCAAGCCAGCTGCTGGAGTGTAGTATGTTTTCTTTTGATGCAAAAATGTACAGAGCGGCCCAGATTTCCACCAACTTTGCTGACAAGCTGGCACTTTCTGACCCAGACCAGTCAAACCCTGTCACATCCTGTCACTGTCAATCCCTGTCAACCGATTATATTAGTATATTTGCCATTGTTCGGGGCATTTCGGGGCCGCGTTGGTTCTAGTACAGTAAGCTATGTTGTAGTCTGTTCATGCTGTGTCCACTCAGCCAGCAGATATGAGCAGACGCTAGCAGAATCCGCTGATGCACCGAAGGCTGTTTATGGCCTAGGGATGCCTAGGGAGCGGCAACCATGAGCGGGCACTGCAGTGGGAGATAGTGGGAGTGAAAGACGAACAAGCGCAGACTATCGCAGACTAGAGTTTGCTTTTAGAATCTTTTAGAAATTTTTTGAGACTCAGTATTTCTCAGATCCTCAATGATCCTCAAAAGATCGCAGACGTGACGTTTCCAGCTTTTTGCTGAGCTACGATGTAGGCTTCGATGAAGGACTTCTGCAAACTCTCCGACAAAGAGAAGTTTGAGTGGATCCCCAAGGTCAGGGTTCGTTGTTTTGTGTTGTTTTGGTTTAATATGGTTTAATTATGTTTAATTTATATAGTATTTACATGTATTTACAGACAGTTACAATATGTAACAGTATATTTTACGTTTGCCGTGTTGGTTGGACCGTGTCGCGAAGGATTCTGTGGCCCACTTGGCAGTGGTCAGCAGGTACCAGTCTGTTTTGGCATATGTGGCAAGTCGCGGTGGCTGCGACAGTCCTGACTCTGACAGCTCTGACAACGAATTCCCAGAAGCATCAGGATCAAAAGAAGACGGAGCGTCGGAAACTTGCCGGACTCCAAAAAGCGTTATATCTGTTTTTAGCGACGTATAGACATGTATAGTGGAGACATGTGGAGACATGTGGAGACAATTGAGAAAAGTGGAAACTAAACTGTAAACAAAGCAATTTGTTGCATTGATGTGCACTGATAAATTATTTTTCAGGTGGTCGACCCCTTTGAGTGGCCCACCTCCATTTTACATGGAGGTGAATGGAGCATGTCTGAGCGGTTTTTGGGCAACACACTTCAACATTACAATTGCCTTACAGTGTCCCCCCACCACCAGAATAATTCATTGTACACCGAGTTATTTTTAATCCTGCCTCCCTGTGAACCACTCACCATTTGTGTTCGCACCCCTTTCAAGCTTCCCCCACCCCAAAAATAATTTTGACAAGATAATCTTTTTGACAGACACATATTGAGCTGTCAAGGACCGTGGAAGCAAAGCTCAGCCACCACAACCTTCCGCGCCGCAAGCCAAGCGACCGGCTGATTCTTTGGAGGTGGCTTCAGAGAGAGCCCTCAAGAAGGAGAAGAAGCAAGCCGAGGCATCAGAATCCCAGGGAGTTATGGTTCCCGTGCAGAACGACATCATGAACCTAGTTGACAAGAAGTTACAGGAGACGCGTGGGTATGGTCACATAACTAAGGGATACTAAGGGTGTTCCTTTCTAATCCTTTCTATACACAGTTAGAGTTAGAAACCTTACCTGTGCGCTGCTATAACTATGTTATTGAAGGTCACAACAGCAGATAATGGATGATAATGATTGACAATGGCAATATTTTTTGAAAGGGTTTGCCAATATTAGTGTTCGATAGTGGTGGCATGTGGCACCAAAAAGGAGCGCATGGAAGCCAAAGAGGCGAAGAGGCTTGAGAACGTTGCCAAGGGGTACCTGAAGAAACAAGGCTGCAACTTCAACATGCATTTCCAGGTTGCGCACAAAGGCACGAGCCATGCTGGGAATTCGAAGCACTGGAAGGAATTCCTGAAAGGTGTCATTGGTGAGGTGGACATTTCTTGTCACGAAAGGTAGCGGTTACGCTACCTGAGTTTTCCTTTTGCTTTAGCAAAAATGTATTAACCCAGAGCTGCAGCCTATCTCTCGGAGAAATGGTCCCCGACATCTTTGGTTGGCGGGGGGGGGGGGGGCCCCCCCCCCCCCCTTTCAACTCCACCCTAGCGCGCCTCGGGGTCAACGGTGCGAAAACACTGTAAATATCAGTGTTTTCAGCTCTTCCAGTCCTTAGCAGTGACCAAAAATATTGAAATTTACAGCGTTTTTTGTGGCTGTCCGGCAAAAAACACCGCAAAAACCGATGGTTTTTGATGCGTCTCGGTTAGAAAAATGACCAAAAAAAGACCAAAAACCAGGAAAGATTTTGTCAGAAAGGGTTTTTGAGGCTTTTGGAGGCTTCAAAATTGCACAAAACTATGGTATTTACAGGGTTTTGTGCACCTTCCCGGCAGAAAACGCCGGTATTTACGCGGTTTTCTGCGTTTTTCCAGCGCTCAACCGTGGAGCGCCTTTGGATCGACGGCTACAAAATACCGTATATACCAATGTTTTCAGCTCCTCTTGTCTTCAAGCGTGGCCTTAGACCTTGCCGCGGCTGTGGATCGTCGGCAACGAAACCTCGTAAATACCAGTGTTTTTGAGCACGTCCTGTTTGCAAGCCTGGCCTGCGGCCATGCATTTTACAGGGTCGCCGCACGTCACTATGTAAAAATGAAGTGGCATTTGAGAAACATGTGACTCCTTTTGAAGGCACGTCAACCTGTATTGAAATCGCTAGACCGCTACAGCTTCTGCAGGCTTGGTCAAGCTTGAACCTTTGATGTGCCAGCTAGTCCATCCGTCCTTTGTTATTTTCCTCTTTAAGGACCGTGGGTGTGGTGCAGGAGTGCCCCGCTAAGAAGCCCGTACCCTCAAAGGTCAAACCCCGCTAGGCAGGGGGGGTCAAAACTCCTCCACAGGTCCTAGATATGCTTATGGCAAGTCATTTTGGAATAGCAAATCGACCCCCTTTATCATTCCTAAGACGGGTCGTCCTCTACGAGCCAGAGGTTTTCACGCTTCGTGTTGGAAATTCAGCCGGGGGGTTCATTCAAAAAGGACGTCATTGCCTGCACCTCGCCCCCGACCGCGGACCTCGCCGCGACCTCTCAAGCTCCCATCACGGAGCGTCATGCGGAACCCGCCGTGCTCTGTTGGGGCGGAAAGCATCCACCGGGACGACCATGAGGCCGCTTGGGAGCATAGCGTTGGAGCCACCACGAGCTGCAAAAACCGGCGTGTTGCCTTCTGCCATGTAGACTCCTGAGTCTTGACAAATCGCCCCCCTCATTTTGCATTGTAAACCACTTCACATGGTGGTTTATGACATACCATGATTGACACAGGACGGTGACATAGTAGTGTAGCCCAAAGTGTTTGACATGCTGCTTTTCCTACAGACTATGTGTCTAAAGAGTGCAGTCTGAAGCTCGATAATTACAGGCCTCAGGCTTAGCGCCATGAGAGGAAGACGTCTCGATGGAACACCCGCTGCATGCAGTAGCATTCAACGCAGGGCCAAAAACGTGATATGATATATATATATATATGCCCTAGAAGTCCAAAGACTATTTTTAGACCAACCGATGTAAAGGAAATGGTCACCTAAAAAGAGCATTCTTTTTATAGTCTTTGACTCCCAGGGTATGGCTAAGCTATTGGCAAACTTAAAGCCATCGTCCCAGGTCATAGACATGCTGATCGGTCGATCGGCTCCGGCTGCCCTCGATCTCAGGTGCCGTGTGCCAGGGCTGCTTTGCTTGGGCGCTCTCATTGCACTTGTGTGTTTTGGCGTCAGTGACACGTCCCGGTAATCCGGGCGACAACGACGACGTTCGGATGTACTGCTGCCCGATCTACTTAACCTCACCTACCCTACCGTACCCTACCTAATACTGCTACTGCTGCTGCTCTGTGTGCTACCTCACCTACTACTACTACCTACCTACTGATACCTACTACGGAGAACTATGTACTACTAACTACCACCATCACCACCGCCAGGTTGAAGATGCTGGGTCCACTGCTACCAATATAATCCAATATATATATACTACAACACTAACACTATAGTAAACTCCAGGGGGTCCAACAATCCTCGGTTTTTGTTGCGGGTTTCGAGCGATGGATTATTTTTTTGAAAAAACACGCACCCCACCCTCCAGTGTAGGGAAAAGAACCGTTAGCATTAAGCTAAAAACGATTCCCTTGATTTGTATGGTTTGGTCTAATTCATGGTAACTCCCCTGGCATGGGGAAGATTCTTTTAGCTTTACCAAATTCCTTAGGGCAAATCCAAGTGTTCGGTGATTGGGGTGTCCATTGTTTCCCACTCGAAAAGATCAACAAGAGCAGGTGGAAAGGTGGAAGCTTTAACCTGTTGGTGTTCGCCGGGGCTGTCGATTCTCAGACCGACGTGAGGTTGAACAGGTGGAAAGCTTTGGGGGTCGCCTCTTGAAGTCACAAAAAGGTCACGTACTGAAGGTGCTGGCAGTTCGATGTTTACCGTGTCTACCGCGCAGGGCAACGGCCAACCCCCGGCCAGCGCCCCGTCTCGCAGCTTGCTGCCGAAAAAGCGTCGTTTTCAGTGCTCGGCGGTGGTTCAGGTCCGAAAGCCTTACTATGACGACGGCTGGCGCATAGGTGGAAAGAACATGTGGATCGAGGCCTGACGCGAGTCAACGTGCGTTGAAAGAGCGAGAGAGAGAGAGAGAGAGAGAGAGAGCCATCCAACCGCGCAAGAAGACAGAGCGCTGGGGTGGCCTGGGCGGGCGGCAGCCCGAACGCGGATTTATGTCGCTGAACGTGAGGAGTGATGGGGATTGAAGTGCCTTGAGGTGCGTAGCCACAGCACAGATCCAAGAAGTGTCCAGCAGGGTTGTGAATACAGATGAAGCCGTTCCTTAGTGGCTCCCCCAACGCAGGAATTCCTCTTAAATTGACTCACACCCCAAGAAAGACCTTTGACCTGGCTGAGAAGATACGTGCAACCAAACCATCCCAACCTCTGAGCTGGAGGAACGGAATCCGAATTCCCTGTGGGGCCCCCATTCTGGGACAGATGTTTAGTATGTTTGGCCAAGTTCCTAAAACAACAGACCCAAGATTTAGGCATATTAGGCGGCATATTCTGAGTATTCTTCCTCCTTTGTTGGACCACGTTTTTCGTCGCATACCCGCTCTCCCACAATCCGATTGCAGTTGGACAATTTCGGGAGGATTTTAGGAGGGACCCCTCTGACGACATTTTGGCAGTTACGGTGACCAAATGAAAACGAAGTCGGAGCTGTTACGCACTTAGTAGCTTGCTTACGGCTACTGTGTGCGGGGACAACAGCTATTTATCATCATTTTTACTTTGGCTGCTTGGACTGCTGCTCTCCATTCTGAGTGTTTTAAAGCCATCTATATAAGACTTAGCTGCTTTGCAGCCAATTGCTTGCCCGTAAAGTGGTCCATCTTGCTCACAGGACAAGTTGGAAAGAAACTGGATGACTGGAATTCTGTCGGTTGGAGGACTGAGTTGGGCGAAGCAAAGGTCATAGCAGGCTTACCGTTCGGAAGAGTGATTGTGTAGGGTTTCTTGCCCCGCAGGGACAAGGGTGTGCAGACAATACCGAACTGACCGAAATGAAGAGTGTGCAAAAACACACCCGGAGAATCTGAGTCTTTGGAGATCTTTTTTGGCCTTGATGCTTTTTATGTTTTTGAGGGTTGGATTCGTTGGATAGGTAGCTCACAGTTTTGGGGGGATCCTTTCTGGCGACCCAGAAAAGAGAGACCTGTTATAGATCGGGGGTCAAGAATCATACCTGTTGCAGACCGAGCATACATATAGACCAATATATATAGGTATACAATTTTTTTTATGAACATATCTATACATACAGACACAAGCAGCTCCTAAAAGGAAGCCTTTTGGAGGATAAGAGTGGATATGAATGGACACTCGTACAGAAGGACTCCAGAGCACCATGGTCGCGTTCGGGTGTTGCAGACCAAGACCTGTTGCGCTCTCCACTCTCCTGGGTAAACTTCTCCAGTCTCTTGTGCTCCGCCCGACGAAAACCAGGGTTTGCCTTTCGCAGTATCGGTTGGGATCTAGGCCTCCTTGGGATGGGTCACATGCACATGTATGCTTTTGCTCGGCCCAGAGTGTCATAGACCTTGGTCCTAGTGTTGCAGCCAAGCCGAAGACAGTCATCACGCGAAGCCCATACATGTAGCACAACGAGGTATTCCCACGGTCCCTACTTCCTTTTTTGCCACTTGTCTCCGTGCCTTCCGTCTGGCATTCGTCCTCGGCCTTCGCAGCCTATGGCGTGGCCACGTGAGAGCCTGGAGGCTCTTCTGGAGGGCGGGCCTCCACCTGAAGATATGCTGGTGCGGCTGCAGCATCTGGCGCATGTTGGCAAGCCCACCGACCCGTCAGATTTTTTGCACCGCCTCCAAGCCATTTTTTCGCACCCCCAACACTTCACATCTCCATTGGACCTCCCCCTCACCTGGCTCGTGGCCTTTATGTTGCGGCGCCACCCCACACCACACCCCCAGGAACCACCTTGGGTGGATACATTCTACAACGCACAACACCCCCTCTACACCTGGACACCTCACACAGTCCAAGACAAGGTGCGCTGTCATGCCCCCACGAAAGCTACCGGTGATCCTTTTGCCGCAGCCTATCAGCAATTTGTTCACAACGCACGGCGCACCAGCCACCAGGACAAACGTGAACTTTTTGTCATGTCCGCTCTCATCCTGGTCCCCCGCTCCCAAGCTCTGTTGGACTTTTTCACCCTTCACAGCCAGGAGCCCCTCACACAACACACCATCACACAACTCTACAGCTATTTCCTGGAGCGACAGAACATCTACCCGGGCCTGACAGCGACGCGGTCGCGCCAAGCCCACACCACTGAACAAAAGGTCTTATCTCTAGGTACCTTGATCGACGTGTTCTTGGTGCCCTTCTTGCTGGACAATACCCACTGGGATGGGCATTTGGTCCTGGACAGTGCTGCGTTTGTCGGCGATCTTTCTGCGATGCCCTGGCTCAAAGGTGCACTCCAACATGTGCACTTCTGTGATTACGCCATTTTGGCGGGCATCATGCAGGAAGTTCCCGACAACGAGCACTACGCTAGAAATAGCCGGTTATTCTTGGAGATGACGGCGCACGGCAACTATGAGACTGTTGCCGCTGCCCTTGCGCCGTACCTGCCCTTCGTCTGCACCTGGCGGGACGCGTCGGCGTCGGCCTGTATGGTCGTCCGGCTGATGGAGGCCTTCCTGGCAGGTTCGACGTTGGGCAAGGGGCGCTTTGCCGAGTACAGGCCAGACATGTCCCCATTCCAGGCGCGGTTGCGCACGAACTTGGACCGGCACCCGGTTCTCGACCCAACGCTCTTGGACCGCAGCCTCTTATACCAGGGCTGCAGGTACATTAGCCCAGGCATTTATTGCCAGACGTTGGGGATTACAACCGGCAGCGCGCCGCGGCGCACGGCCCTGCACGACGTTTCCCGTTCCTTGCTTGCACTTAGTTCCTCTTTGTCCCAGATTTTTCCGTCGCACGCCTTCGTCTCCAGGTTACGCAGCGGGGCAGCGGCTCTATGTCTTGGTCTCGCCTCGGCGCTTGGGCCACCTCCTAGCCGAGTTGGCGGGCGTGGACGCCGCGGGCGACGGGCGGGTGACGGTACGGCAGCCCCGCCGCGGTGACTTTGTCACGTTGCTGCGGCTGGCTGCTGTCGCCGCCTTGGATGCTGGCCTGCCTGGCAAGCGGGCACGCGTCAGGCCCTCGCTTCACACATGTCCTTCTACGCAAGTCGTTGCCACTGTCCGGTTTTGCAGGTGACCTTGGCGGCGACATCGACCGCCCCGCCCTCGGTGCCGTCTTGTTGTGGACGTTCAGGTGTTGGTTTCACTGTCAACGTGTCATTCCGTCTCCTCGGTCCTCCCACACTGCAGCATATAGGGCCTCCTCACGCTATATGCCTTGAAACACCGCTCTCCAGACTCTCCAGACCCACGCCTGCCTCTGCCTTTCCCCCGTCGCCTGAGGCTCGCCTCCTCCCCTGTGGCGGTGCTGTATATCGAGAACCTTCTTTTGTGGGCGCAAGACCATACGTCTGCTCCGAAAAAGCTCGGGCTCCACGCGACCCATCTCGCCAAGTGTGTTCGCATCGTGTCGCCGTGTTTGTCTGCTCAGCTCTCGGCTTGCTAGGACCTGGACCTGTGGGTGCGCTTTGGAACGAGCACATTCCGGCCTATGGGCGCGCCTCGTCTTATCCGAGGTAGACCAAGGAAACTAAAGGACTGGTACTTAGGGGGCTTGAGCAAAGACTGCCTCCGAGGCTTCTCTTGCGAACCATATTTTGTCTATGCAGGTCTATTTCGCTACATACATTGATATATCTCTATCTACGATACATACGTATTTACACCCTATATATATATATATCTTTGCACCCTGTACTGTAGCATCCAGCATTGACTCCAGGGCCTTCCCTGGACCTCAGCGCCTCAGGTCTCTCGGGGTAATTTGTCGGAGTTACCAACCGCCCGGCTGCACTGCCACGGTGGCCTACATGAAAACCAGCCGCCACCGTACGTGTGCTGTCCCGTGAAATGGCATCGGGGATGGACGACTCGGCCCTGTTCCAAAGACTTGACCTGGCCCCGCGACAAACACGGTTCTGGTATACATTTGGACACAAACAGCTTTTTTGAAGACGGAAAGACCTAAAACAAGAACCTGATAGACTGCCGGTTTCGACTTGCATCTAGAAGTGCGTTTCTTCGGATGCTTTTGGACCCGAATCCTCTAACCAGGTCCAAACAAGTTGATCTCTGACTTCGGACCATTTTTCCGTCCGTGGCGCCGGACCGAGGCCCTCTACTGGTTGATCGGTGGGGCCGATCCGATCAGGCTGGTGCGGTTCCAGGTGCGGTGGAGCGTTGGGGGGGGTTGACCATGGCAGGTTGGAGTTGATCTGTGTGGATGGTGTACATGGATGTGGTTGTCATGTGTTGTGTTTCTCCCATCGATTCGGTTGCTTGTACCAAAGGCACCACCAGGGTTTCCTTTGTGACTTGCAACATGTATTTCATAAAATGTTATATTTGAAGGAGTGACTGTATCCTACCGCAACGCATCCATGTTGGGAAGCACTTCATCCTGACAGGTGGTCCTGAAGCCGGGACCCTCAGGGCAACCGACCAGCTGGTGGTGGTCGAACGTGCAGCGAGCTTCAAGAAGCTACCGGGTCGTTGGCGGGTGTTGTGAGGGTTCGCGTTTTGCTATGTTTTTCTTATCCTTTGAGGGGATTCTTGCAATTCAGCATATCGTTGAGAACCTGGGGGTGCTAAACGTAGATGTTCCGACTTTGAACCTTGAGGCCTCTTCTGGTCGAAGTCTTCACATCAGAAGCCAAGCAACCCGGGCCCGACCACCTGCCGGCCTCACTTGGAAACGACCAACCACCGCTCTTCCAAGGCCATTGAGAGCCCTATGAAGACATGATCTCTAGGGTGTCCTCCTTTGGCAGATATTTGTGTCTTGGACTTGCCTTGATGCCGAAGTTCGCTTGGCAAATCTGCAGTTTTTCACGCCGTGAAGTAGATATGCGTCTTGACTCCGGACTGCCAGCATACCGTCAGTTCTTCACCTGAGGTTGAAGTATGTTGATGCTGAAAGGCTAGATAGACCCGAACATCCGCAAACAAAACCAGGTCCATTTTGTCTCAGTTTTGGCAGGAGTAACAATCAGGAGATGATCACAATCATGTTTTTTCCACGAAGTTGGTTCTTGTCACTATCAACACTACCTACAGATAGGGGCTTGCAAACCCGGGGTTCACATCAACCAACATGGACTCCTGGAACTGTTCGTTTCCCCCGGGTTTCTCGTCGCCGAGGTTTAGTCTGGGGGACTTCCGACCTCAGTCACACACTCCTTACAAGTGACATCAGGTGACATCATCCAGAGTTTGCCGTTCCAACCCGTCTGGGGATCTTTCTCCATGAGCAACCACTTCAACGGGGAGGGGGGGCCATATGTTCTGCGTGGAAACCCCACCCGAGCACCTTCTCCCCCCCCTGAAATTCTGGTCGGGTCCTCGACTGTCGCCGTCTTCCACGCTGGGCTCACACCGCCGTGCGAAAACCCCCGCCCCGGACGCTTTGGAGGCTTGTTCCTCTACTACGACGAGAACTCGGCGACTGCCACTTCCCCTCCAGTCCGCTCTTGGGGATCTTGGTGGCGTGGAGGGAATGAAAGTGGGACCGCGCGGTGGGAATTTCGCGCGTGCGGTGTTTGTTTTTGTGCGCCCGGGGTTCATACAGGATGTTTCATATGGGATGTGGCGACCATGTGCTTTGTCGTGGAACTATAGGACGACCCATGCCAGGAGAGCTGTCCTGGATCGATCGAAATGACCTTCAATGGATGTTTGAAATGACTTTTGCAGGACACAACAACCTTCCAAGCGACCCCCTATGAACTTCCATTAGCTTCAGCGACTCTTGGGTGGTCTCTTTTCGCCGCCGCAAAAAGGCCGTCAAACGCAAGAGACGTCGTGTCCATGAGCCCGGACATGGGTCATCGATAGCGAAGATACCGCTTCGGTCGCAGTCTGGCCGCGACGGGAAGAGGTGGATGGGAGCAAGACGCTCCATGCAGCTGGGGTCTTCAAGCCAGAGGTCAAGACACCCTTCCTGGATAAGGCGCATAAATTCATGATCTCCTCCACGCGTTGAGACTTCGTGCGTCAGCATGAGGGGCAGAGAGGAGGTGGTTAGATCTCAACCTGTGAGGCAGAGGGTTGAGAACTGTTTTTTCAAGCAGGGAAGTATTGCCTCCAGGGCTGCGCAAAGCGTGCAGTCGTCTCTTTTCAGGACAGAGGCAATGCCTTGTTCTATGTGGGCGCTGAGCGTTGGGCTCTCAACGTAGTGGAAGTCGCGGGGCTTCTTACACTCCTGGAAACTCGACATAGACCCCTGACACCCTCAAAGATCCGTTTCTGATCAAAGACTTTGGCTGATCTCTCGACTTGGACCCTTTTCATGATGTTTTGGTGTTCTTTGGATGGCTCACTCACCGCGGGTTTTTGGTGCCGCCTCCTCACTTGCTCCAGAAGACAATCCCTGAGACTCCACACATGGCATATTTACCTACATTGGGGTGGTGTGAGGGGTCAATGTAGGCATATATGACTCACATGGAGTGTCTGGGACAGTCTGGGAATCTGCTCCTGCTCATTGTTGGATATCCGGACATCCTCCACAGTGCTTTTCTCTTTTCTAGGTGCTCAAGAGCTACAACGCTTCCGAGCTGCGGATGACCTTCGTCTACAGGCCAATTGAGCCTTTATCCGTCGTGCCTGGCTTGGGGTGTTTTCGGGCGCCGGGGTGTGAAGTGGGAGGGAGGGGTGAGTTGCAAAACCCCTCCTGATCCTTGGTGTTTCCATTCGAAGTTCATGACACTTTAAGTTTCGTCAGGATGGATAGGAGCTGCGCCGGCGCAGGACAGGGGCAACAGGGGCGACAAGGGCGACAGGAGTGGAGTCCGAGCCCATCGGCGACAGGAGTGGAGCTTTCTGTTTCTTCCAGGGTTGCGTGACGCTACGGTGTTCGGTTTTCCGGGGTTCGGGGTTCAGTGCCTTGTTTCTTTCCCTAGAGGTCGAGTCTGACCCAGCTCCAAGCCTAATCTTTTACCTTCTTGAGTGGCGTTCTTCAATGACACAATCCCATAACTAACATGAGGTCAAACTGACCTCTAGGGTTTGGAGGAACCACATTTTGTCCAGGAAGCTTTTGGTCTACTGCTGTCAACTTGACAACCTCCAGCAAGCTTGAAAGTCCAAAGAAAAGCCTGACTCCTCTTCGAACCCTCTCTCGGGCACGCTGCTTCACCTCAGCGGAGGAACAGTTCGCAGCATCCTTTCACTACCGTGTCAAACCATGCCGAAGGCACGGCCAGGCAGTTTTTTCCTTGGTTTTTGGTCAAGGCCCTGCGGCTGGTTTGCGAGTTTGGGGGATGCATAAAAAGCAGAATATTGTGGGGATTGCCGAAGAAGAAGATCAATGCATCAACTTTGGGAGCTTCGCGGATATCTTGGGGAATGCTAGAATATGCTGGATGCCTGTATCCAAGTGTGCACACATATTTCCAAGGATTTGGACTGGACGTATGTTGACCCTGGCGAAGGAGAGACCAATATATCTAAAGCGAGCTCCAGAAGATTTGCTGACCTCCTTTGGCTGCAGCCAGTTGTAGCCTGTGAAGCAGTCAACTCTTGCGGTCTGACGACCTACCTACCGTTGATGACCTATCGTTGGATGGGTCCCACCGTTGGGTCCAACAGATTGGATTGCCATAGCAACGGGTTGGCAAACCCGAGCCATGGCATGCAACGGGGAGAGCGGGTGATTTGTTGGCAAAAAGTGGTTCTCCATTTTTTTTACAAACTTGGTGGTTTGGACGTGGGCAATGGGACCTGTGGGAGAACGTCCATAGTTCTCCCAATTTTTTTAAAACAAACTTGGTGGTTTGGACATGGGCCATAGGACCTGTGGGAGAAGGTCCATAGTGCTAATGATGCACGCCAATCTGCCTCGCATTTTCAGCATTTTTTTATTTACAAAACAGATATATTAAATATATCTGCTGTTCTCCTGCTTTTCCAGACTCAACCATAACCCAAATTGGTAACAAAACTGTGTTTATCAACCTTGAACACCCTGAGGTTGTTTTCTTTGTACCTTGCAGGCGACACCTGCTTTGTCATGGACCACGTTGATACTGCAGACTCCCTTTGCCTAGCAGCCCGGCTGCTTGAGGGCTGATTGCGCGGAGCGCACACGAGAGAAGAGTCAGTTGCTTGCATTTTAGTAGGTCCTTCTGATCTCTCCCCAAGTGGATGGAAAGTCCAGAGCGGATTGTGAAAGTCTTTGTCATGGAGTGTACCGCATAGCCTCCCATGTTTCTTGGCTCCCGTCTCTGCTTCCTCCATAGATCTCTTTCTCATTTCACTTGAGTCGTGTCACATACCTTTATGATGCCACATATCATCCCACAACCTCTTTCTGTCAGTCACACACACACCACACCCACCATGTCCTGCATTGTCTAGCATCGCCTCTTGCCATGCCGTCCACTCGAGTCGCTTACAGAGACCGTGGTTATAGACTCCACATCGCGGCTGACCGTCTGGAGGAGTTCCGTCTGGCCTATGCCGCGCTACAGGCTCGCCCAACCTACAGCACCGCAGCTTTTGCACACGGCCAATTTGCTGAGATTGTCTCTGCCATGGAGTGCACCTTCGCTGCATCATCTTCGGAGGCCGACTCCACCACGTGCGTGCGAGTCCGCCGATCGTACCGCGGGGCCCAAATCGGCTTCTCCTTGCCTGTGGCCGCCTTTTTCTACTGCACCGTTGTGATTGAAGAGCTCTTTGTCGACGACGATGTCCGGCACCAACACCTTTCCCTGGAAGATTTTCGTGCCCGCTGCCGCGCCATCTTTGTGCCATGCTCAGCTTACACTCCAGGCATTTTTGTATGGGATAAGCTGTGGCTCCTTCCTCCTGCTGTCCCTCGACCTTTTGCAGGCTGGGATGCCATGGTTGCTTCACTGTCTACAGCGCCTTCAGTCATCAGCCCGACAGCTTCGAGAGCGAGCTTCTCCCGCATCTGGACCACATGTGTGGAAACAGCTACCTCTCAGCAACCGAGCCTGTACGTGGCCTGTCATGCACACGGGCGCCGGTGGTCCATCACTGTGCCAACACCAACAGCGCTGGCAGTTCGCCTCCTGGTTGAGGATCTTCTACAGGATCTCCCACCTGACTCCAGTGCAATGCAAGCCGCCTGGGCGACTCTCTCTCAGCAGCATGCCGTGGCCACGCACATCACCATTCCAGACACCCTTGCGTTTCAGCGGCAAGATTGGTCATATTCTTTGGCGCCCGGGGCATGGGAGCCTCGAGCGTATGCCTCTGATGTTGTTACCCAACGTCTCCCTTGTGGACCACCCGAAGCCACGCTTTCTTTCTGGTGTCGCCTTTGCGGTTGGACTGGCGCAGACAGGGACAGCTGGAACACTCACTTGGACTATCATGGAGGCTTTCAAGCTTATCGTCAACAGTTACTCGCGCAGCACGCTTGCGATTGGCCCCAACCTCTGGATCCGAAGGAGCTTCGGACCTGCATGGCCTCTTATTCAGATCGCTTCCACGCTGCTATTGCCCTCCCTACACAGCCCTGTGCTTGTTGTGCTTGCAACCATGTCACGGACGACAGGAGTGTGGTGTGGGACTTACGTGCACCTCCATTCGATCTGCTGCAACTACATCCTCTCTTCTCTGCCAGAAGCTACCTCGAGCGACTTCAATGCCTCTACGTGGATGCCCCTGCTGAATTTTTAGGTTTAGCCCTCCATACCTTCTCTGCGCGTGGCGTGCCCGTGCCAGCCTTTGGGGGTGCAGGCCTTCGTGATGATTCTGATTCATGGCTCCTCTATATACCATCCGACTCTCGTGAACTCTGGGATGCTTCTGTTGCCGAGCCAGATCGGCCGCTGGAGGTCTTTCTTTGTGCAACATGCTTCAGTGCCCTCTCACGACAACCGCCTCGACTGCCGGCCCTAGCTTTGGCTAATGGCAATTTCTGCTGTCCTCTTCCTACTTCTTTACAAACTTTGACATTTGCCGAGACCTTGTTTGTGTCTCGTGGCTATACGCTGCATCGGCTCCACACATTGCCAGGGCGGGCAGCTCCGGCGGATCGACAGCAAGCTTTGCGCGGCAACGTCATTAGCTTCCCACAGAACGCTGCCCAAATTTTCAATATGTTGCCACGACCTGTGTCTAGCGCCGCCGAGATGTTGACGGTTTTGTTTCCACGGGACGATCTGCAAGATTTGACCTCTTGCCCTGAGTACCACGTCCGTCGGCAACGTGTCCTCGAAGCCTTGCGCTGGCTTACTTTGCACAACCCGTACTACACAGATGTCACCATTGACTACGATGCTTTAGAGACTTTGCCCCTGGATGGCCCTCTGGTCAACGTCGGCTGTTCAGCCCCGGCGGCTGACCTAACACCAGAGCCGGGCCCGGCCGATGCACAGCCGGGCCCAGCTACTGTGGCGCACATGCCGGTGGCCGCCGCCGTTTTGGATACGGAAGGGGCAGGTCTTCTTCCCACTGAACTCTGGCGCCAAGCCTTGAGCACAGAGAATGCCCCAGACGACGATCTTGTTGCTGCCGTCCCACATGGATCCACGCCGCTCAGCAGCTTTCACCCAGCTTATTGGACATGGTGTTTCCCTACACTGTTTCCCTACGGGGACGGTCTTCCGAGCACTCCTCGCTTGACGCGGCTCACGCTTCGTGACTGGGGCCGACACCTGCTTCTTCGCCGTGATCGCTGCCTCTCCGACCAGCCGTGGGCGCTTGACTTGCATTTTTTTGGCCACGCTCTTCGGGGTCCTGCATCGGAAAGACCTCCTTCAGGCTGTCCGTGCTAAATTCAGTACCCCTGGCTTCTTACAGCAAGTCCAAGATCTTCCTTCCCTTCGAACCGAAGATTTCGATATCCTGGTCAATGTATTGCATGATTCCGGCAGTGTGCGTCAAGCCCTCCGTGCCTTTTTTCTGCATGGCTCAAAGCGTTGTTTTCTGCGGATACATGTCCTTGTCTCCTTTCCGCTCCTTTTCCGACTTGCTTTGCCCCTCTTGGCATCCGAGGTCATCCGGCCCTACCACAGCCACTGCGCACAGTTCTGCGGAGCATGCAGCTGGTGGCACGAAGTATTCCGTGCACCAACGCCTACCGTGAAAATATGCGGCATGAGCTTCGCGCCCTGCAGCTTTGGCACGGCCTACCCTGCTTTTTCGTCACTCTGAACCCGGCGGACACGAAGCATCCATTCACTGTCCGATACAAGACTGGGGCGCACTGGCAAGGGCTCTCTGCTGCTACTGATTTTGACCCAGCTTTGGCCCGCGCCCTCTCCAACCTCCAGCTTGCGCACACTGTTGCCGCTGATCCGGTGGCCGCGAGTCAGGCATTTCACCACCACGTGTCAACCTTTTTCCAAGACTTACTGGACATCGACATCACACCCCGCTCTTTGCCTCCGGATGGTCTGGCTTCTCGGCATGGACATGGACTCCTCGGACCCGTGGCAGCTGTCTACGCCATCACCGAGCCCCAGCTGCGCGGCAGCCTTCATGTGCATATGCTGGTCCATTCCTACGGTCTACATACGGTCGAAGAGCTCCTGGCCCGCTTTCATGTCCGCATCCCATTGCTCTGTCAGCGTCTCGAGGCCTGGGCCAACACTATCGTTGCCGCTTCTTTGGAGAGCTTGCCTCCCGTCCTGCACACAGCCTCTGTCGCCGACGTCTTTCAGCGGCTGCAGCCCTTGCCCTTCTCGAAGAAGCACGAGACCGTCTTACACGCTCAGATCGGGGCCACCTGGGATTTTACTTTTTCCGCTTCACATTGGGCACTGGCCGCACCCACGCCCATAGCTGCATCCTCACCATGGACAGATCCCTTCCTGGACTCCGAACATCAAGTTCCAAGCTTTACACCTTGGCCTCGATCTTATCTCCGTGTCCAAGACGCACCACCTAGCGCAGAAACATGGGCCGCCATGTTGCTCTATGATCTCCGTCATAGTGCCGTTCACTGTTGTTTGCACGAGTGTCGTCCCAGGACCTGCCACAAAGGTCTCCTCGGAAAAGCTGGTTTCTGCAGGCTCGGATTTTGGCACTGGCGTGATGTGGCGGCCTGGACAGCCCCGGACATGTGGCAACGATGTCATGGTCTCCCACTCCTCGCTCAAACAACAATCGACACGTCACCAGAATGTACAGGATTACGAGGCCAAATTCAACCTCAGCGCCATCATCCTTTTCACACCCGCTTCAACTTCGGAACCTTGACTGCACAGCTTGTACAATAGATTCTTTATCCTTTCTCCTACTCTTGCAAACATGTTGCAACTCCACCTGACAGGTATTCTCGGCTGCTGTAAATGCAACCATGATGTTGCCATCTTGCTCCGTGCGCCCGTCCCCACTGCCACTGATGAAGCGCACTCCAGCCTCGCAGCGTCTATGGCCGCTTCTGCTCGATCCGCTTCCTACTACATCACAGCCTACATCACCAAGACGCACCCACATTTGAGTAATTTGTGGGTGTTGTTGCGCTCCGGCCACGAACGCCTGCAGAGTGAACTCCACCAACACCCACAGCGGGAAGATGCTCGCTATGTGGCTGCACGCGTTCTGACACGTATGCTTACTTCGGCAGAAAAGAACACTCACAAATCGATGGCCGAGATCTGCCACTACCTCCTCGGCTTCCCCGAGGCGTATGTCACCCACTCCTTCAAGAAGCTCTACGTCACGAACCTCGTCCACCGAGCCCTCCAGCTGCGACCCGTTGCAACCCTCACGGCCGAAGAGCCCGAATCAAGTTTCTACTTGTATCGCTCGCCACCAGACACCACGGTCGGCGACGACACGGACATGCATCCTGTGTGCCTCATATCCGGCCACCAAGAACTCGACTACATGTACCGAGGCCCTGACTTGTCCACCTGGCCGCTGTACTTCTACGTCGCAGCCATTCAACGTTGCTCTGCTCAACGCCTCCCTCCTTCCAGCGTCTACACTTACTTTGAACCTCAACACCCATACGCAGCCCGTTCCGTGCAGCGTCTTCGATTGGACACGGCCTGGTCTATTCCTGCACTTTGTGGCATCGCTTTACCGCCGCCAGATCAAGATCTCGAATTGCACAGCCTTATTTTACTCCTGCTCTTCAAACCATGGGCCCGCGTGGACCTGCTTGATCTCTTACAAGACCCCGAGACTGACACGCAGTTTGATTCTTGGGCATCTGCCCTAGCGCACTATCGATCCTGTCTCCTGTGCACTATTTCTTCCACATCGTCATCTCAGTCACGCCCTGTCCCTTTTACCCCTCTGTACTGGGCCCAACGTGTCTTGGTCGCATTCTGTGGCCTTTGCTACTGTTTCCAGTTCTTTTGCCGTCACGTACTCTGGACTGTAGGCTGTTTGCGTTCTATGGACACTGTCGCCGCGGTGTTGACCCCACACGGTCTTCATTTACCGACGCCGCGCCCGCCTGGCCGAGAGTGGCGCGATGATGTTGCCTCTGCCGCAGACCTTCCCCTGTCCGAGTCCGAGGACACGCTAGATGCATCCGATACTGATGTGGACGACGCTGAGATGGTCCGGTCCCTCACCATGTTCCTCACCACGGAGAGGTCTTTCCACCTCTCCTGGCCTGCGTTGCGCGCTGCGGTCCACAATCCAACTCTGGATAGCCGCAATCCTGCGCAAACAAAGTTCGCCCGGGAGTTCTTTTCTAGCCTTTCGACCATGTGCGCGCCCCCCGGGATCCAAGCTTGCGGGGCGACATGTCTCCGTTCCATCGCGCCCGCCGCCTTTGCACAGCTCCAAAAGGAGGCCCGGGCTGGTTTCGCCCAAGAGGATGTGGACTCAGACGATCTGCCCACATTTGCTCTTCCGTCGTTGCCTCCACTGCCTTCCGTCCGCAAGTCCGCGACGGTCTTCCAGTTCCTCGAAGACTACATCCTCGCGGGTCACTGCAACACTCGGGAAGGCACTCTGAATCACAAGCAAGCCCTGTTCCTCGTTGTCTTCAGCCTTGCACTCCATGTGTCTTGGCTGCAGACACGCCTCCCTGCATGTTTTCTCCGTTCACTGTCGCATGCCTCAGGAACGGCTCCTTGCTGCTAGCCCGGACCCTGGTCTTCCTGCACCTGCAGCCCAGCAACAACTACTTCTTCTCGGAGGGCCTGGCACTGGGAAGACACACGTGCTCAAGTTTGCCCTTGCATTGCAGGAGCGCTTCTTCCCTGGCAGTGTGCGCAAATGTGCCTTCATGAACAGCGCTGCCCGTCTCATCCAGGGCTCCACCTTGCATTCGGCTCTCAACCTTAGCTTCGACGATGGCTCCAAGGCCCGAAGGAGTGCCACCAAGTGTGAAGCGCTGCTCGAGGCGTGGAGCTCCACGTTGCTTCTTGCTCTTGATGAAGCTTCGATGTTATCTGCAGAGTTGTACAGCCAGTCGGAATCCCAAATCCGGTCCTTGAAGGGAGCGCCCACTGTTCCGTGGGGCGGTCTGACTTTGCTTTTGTCGGGTGACTTCTGCCAATTGCCTCCTGTGGCGGCCACGTCTCTCCTCAGCTCTGTCCCCGCTCCACCGCCCCCAACTGCTTCCGCAGCTACCCACACACGGCACCAGCACACTGTCCGCGGCCTTGATCTATGGAAACAAGTTGATCGTTGTGTCTCGCTCGAGTACACGCACCGCACACAGGGCCCTTTGCAAGAGTTTCTCCAAGCCATGCGTCAAGGCCACATTCCTACAGCACTTTGGCAAACCCTCCTAGGTCGCCTCCTGCGCCCACATGACCAACGGCTCCTTGCCCCACGTTTCTGGGCTTCTGACGCTTGTGTTGGAGTACTCCGCCACAGAGTTCGAGTTGCAGCAACCTTGCACCGTGCCGAGGTCCTTGCTCCTGCTTCCGGCCATCGACTTCTCCTTTGTCTCGCTGCCGACCGGTGCCGCAATGCTCGCAACCTCCCCATCATTGCCCCTCCATTCCTCGAGTACCTCACTCGGCTTCCCAACTTGAACCAGACGTGCAACTTGCCGGGGTATTTGTGTCTCTGGCCTGGAGCTGTTTTGTGCCTAGAGCACAAGATTTGCGAACAACATGGCCTGATTCGTGGCTGTCCGGTGACGGTGCGTGAGATCCTGCTCCACGATCAGGAACCTCCGTTTGAAGATGACCCTACTGCGCCGCCACACATTCTGCAGTACCTTCCACGAGGTCTTCTTGTTCACGTGCAGGGTGCTACTTTCACTCAAAGCAGCCACTGGCAACCGGGAGAATTCCTCCTCGAACCTCTGCACCGTTCCTGGTCTCTGTCACCTTCTTCAGAGCACCTCCACGGCCTCGATGACGCCACCCTCGCTGCCGTTGCTTGCACGCCACTGCAGGTCTCTCGTCGACAATTTCCTTGCACGAACACATTGGCTTGCACAGCCTACAATGTACAAGGACGCACCGTGCCTGCCATGTTGGCAGACCTGGCATTACCACCTCACATGAAACGTGCATCTTGGCAGCTTCAGTGTTTTCTTTTTGTGCTTGCCCATCTCCTCACCTTCTCTAGCCTTGTCCCTATGTTTTGCCCACTGCAGGATGAATATTGGCTTGCTGTCTACGTCCTGCTCAGTCGTTTGCCATCACTGGATGATCTCCTCCTGCTGCGGGCGCCGCGACGCGACTATCTCAGTGGCGGGCCCCCGCAGTACCTCGCCGACGCACTCGCTCACTTTGCCGCCATGCAGACGACCACGCTCCAGGAAGCTGACCGCAAATTAGCTGGCCTGCGCCTGCAGCCGCTGCGCCTGATGGTCACCGCACCACTCCTCGGTCCAGTTCCAGCTCCACGCGTGAAGCGGCCACGTCTCTGAGTCCACTCACCGCTGCTTTGCAGCTGCTATCCGCGGAGGTTCGCCAATTTCCGCGCTCCCTCGTGGGATTCTTCGTTTCAACTCGCATGTTTTTCTTCCCTGCCTCTTCCACCGTCAGGGCAGTATATGATTCCAGTCCCATGGAGTGTTTCTCACTGAATGGATCAATGTGGGTCAATGGCTTTTTCAGCCGTGGTGGTCCCCTAGACCCGTCCGGTGGCCCTTTCCTGAAAGAACGGATACATGGACTGTCAGACTCAACGAAGGAGTTGATAGGGTCTTTGGGATACTGCCTTTGGATGCTAGTTTTCATGATTGCAATCCATGCTGGCTGCCAACGCCTTGGATCTTACAACTCCTAAAGCATGCCCATTGCATTTTGCATTCCACGATATGCGTGGCGAATGGCGCAGCGAAGATAGTCTTCCTAGGAAGAGCGTTTAATAAATTTAAGAAATGGTTGAGCTGGCGTTGCACAACCCCACATCCACTCAAACAGCTGTCCCTTGTTCGGGATTTAGACCTTCCACAATCAGGAAGACTAGAGTAACCGACCAACCCGCGGGAGCGACTTCGCGTAACCGGGTCAGTCCTTCCAGGTGCCGCCGGCTCGGATTTTAGCGATCAGGCAGGGGCACCCAGCGGGCTCAGTGGCCCTGGACCGGGGTTCAAGTCCGAGCGTCACTGTGTAACCCTGAGCTCCTCCCACAAACCAAAAGTATAGAGACATCAACCCAGCTTCCATCCTGCAGGACCCTTGTGTCGCAGTGATTCCCCACCCATTGAGGGTCCTTTTTTTTTTCTCCCGGGCCGACCGTAGTGGGGGAGGTGGCTCGAGATCGGTGCTGCCCAAACAGGACTGAGGCTTGGGGGTTTTGGTCCTGTGCTGAGAATTCGGTGATTGATCTACTTCGGTGGCATCGTCCACACCTGTCCCTGTATGAACGGGGCCAAGGTTTTCCGGTTCCTTTTTCCAGCCACTCCAAGTAGACATGTTGGGTAGAGCTGTCTTCTTCAACTGTTGACTCTTTCCCGCATAAGTAGTTTGACCTTTTTTCGGATGCATTGGAAGGCGTCGATCTAATATGAATTCCTGGCATCCAATGTTCAGGTTATAGATAAGATAAGACCCTATAGACTTCCGCTCAGATCGCTGAGCTGGTTTTTGGTTGCCGCTCGAAACGCTGCTGAGACACATCCTGGTGCCCAAGGTGTCAAGACATGAACCTACCCACTTTTCAAGGGTAGGTTAGTTGGCGTCCGGTCCTGACCCATGTTTTGACTTGTTGTAGTTTCAATGGTGCTGCCCGCGGCCGGCTGCATCATTAGCATTTTTTGGGTTGAAAAACAGATATATTAAATATATCTGTTTTTTCTGCACGTAGAGCCTCGTCCGGGAGCTCGGTTTGGAGACGTTTTCTGGATCCTTCGTCCCAAAACCATCGATTTCGAGAATATACCTGTTTTTTCCTCCCTGACTACCTCCTTCCTTTGCTTCAAATCAATTTGGCCCCCATCGAAGACATGCCGGCTGCATCCAGGAAGACGCCACCTCCTCCGTTCTTCCTCAACGTCCACAGGCGCCGCTGTGTCCGTGTCACCCGAGTATCGCTCGTTTTCGTTCCGGCTCGGCTTTCACGCTTACAGCCACCGGCTTCCGACCAGCTTCTTTGGGCTCTGCTGCCATCCGCCTACCTTTTGCCGCCGCTCCCACCGCGAGCACATCATGCCGGGCGAAAATAAGCGTCGCCACTCTGCAGCCGCTCCGGCCAAGCCTGCAGCATCGCAGCCTGCTCCGGCCAAGCCTGCAGCATCGCAGCCTCCGGCGCCTCAGGTCCAACCTCCAGCGCCTCCAACGAAGCCTGCAGCATCGCAGCCTCCGGCACCTCAGGTCCAACCTCCAGCGCCTCCAACGCCGGCTGCATCAGATCCTTCACTTCCAGCAGCGGCTCCGCCCCAACCGGATCCACTTGCAGCAGCACCTGCGCCGTTCTTCGTCAAGCGCCGGCGCAGCGGCGCCACCAACTCAGCTCCAGCGCAGGTGACCCCACCTACACTCCAGATCAGCATCCTGAAGTACGGCGCGGACGGCTCCCTCACTCATACGGAGTTCGAACCCGAGCTGGCATCCTTTGCAATCCTCCTGAGCATGACCAACAAGCCGAGCCTCACCTATAAAATCAAGGACTCCGTCATTGCCTTCATTGAGGCTGGGGCGCGCGCCAATCCTGGTGGCGATGTCCCGCAGCAACTGACCGACCTCGCCCCTTGGCTTTTTCTTTCTATACTGTTCTTATCCCCGGCAGTTCTCCTGCAATAAACACCTTTTCCTTTTCATTCAGTTCCTGCATTCTTTGAGGCTGCATTCTCCCAGTTGCTTTGGAGCTTTCCCTCCACAGCCCCGTGGGTGCCCGCCCTTTACACTGGTGGGGGCAACGAGGGCGTGCTGGCAGGCCTCCAGCATATTGAGCGCTGGGCAACGTGGAGACGATCCACAGAGCCGGGGCACAGCTGCGACGCACTGCGCGTGCACATTTGGGCTCCTGACGGATTGGACATCCAGGCATTCCTCGACACAACGTCATGGGACATCTCACAGCAGAGTGGGATCCACCCAACCCACTCCTTGACGATCGCACCACCGCCCTATGCCTCCACACACTTGACCATCATGGCTTCGATGACTGCTGGCACGGACGAGGCCTTCGTGCTTCTCCTTGAGGGGAACACATTTCCGCTCAAGGCCCATCTCGATGAGCTGGGGATCGCCCACACCAAGAACGCACAAGGCAAGTATGTCCGGGAGACCACACCCTTGCTCCTCCGAGACGACAACAAGCTCCTGGCCGCTCTGAGTGCCCTACTGCGCAAAACATATCATCGGCTGGTCGTGGACGACATGCTACCGGCGCCCGTGAGGAACCACCTGCTGTCGATCTTTCGCATCTAGTGAGCGCTTCCTCAGCCATTTCTTGCACCGCTGCATGGCAGACCTTCTCAGTACACATGTTTCACTGGAATACCACGATCCCTTTGGAACAATTTCCCCATCCTAAATGCTCTGCACATTGCCCATGCCAGCGGTTCACCTTTGCTGCCACTGCCTTTGAATCCGCACGTGGCATGCCGCGCCTGGTGGGCCGTCTCACCTCCAGGCACGATCTCGGTGCGTTCCGCGTCACCTCTGCAGTGGCGGCGCTCGTACCGCAATAGCAGAAATAGTGCGACGTGTCCAGTGTTGATTCGGGTACACCTTGCTTCCTTCCACGCAGTCCACACATGTACCTGTTCTCCAGTCAAGTCATTGCGCGGGAAAGAATCAACCTGCTACGTCCCTTTCGTGCACCACCCTCGACAACTATACAGCCTCCGTAGCCACCACTTTCCGCATTTGTCGCTTCCGCCCGCCTCGCAGCCGGCCACAGGTTCTCCTGACAAAGCCCACGACGCAGGCCCAAACGTTCCGCGAGCGCCCGTGTCTTGTTGCGCCTGCGGACGGAAGCATTTCTGAACTCAGTATTGACACTTGACCTGAGATTGTTTCATCAGAGACGAGGTGACAGATAGCGCCGCCAGCCCCCATTTGGGCTCAGCACCTTCAGAGGTCTGCTCCATTTGTTCTTTCGCAACCTCGCTATGCTCCTGCTGCTCATGCCGACGTACCTCTTCCACACCAGCTTGCCCGACTGCCTGAACCTCGCGGACCTTCTTGCTGCTGCAGCCATTGCTCCTTGGCCTGACAGCCTTCAGCAGACCGTAGTGCAAAATATCCAGGCCCTCAAACGTGAAGTCCGCGGCTACTTGGAGCCATTGCGCAATGGTGTGCGGCTGCCGCCCCTGCAATTTCCTGCTCGCCCAGCTATTGTCTTCGACCTGGAACTGGTGCCACACGGTCTCGTCGCTGTCGCCCGCAACCTGTGGCATATCGACGTGGCCAACCCAGGCAGCTTCCGCGAGTTCCTCGATGACACCCCCTGGACCGGAGATACCTTTCTACCAGCTCTGAATCACACACTCGGGCGTGTGGACCCTTTGGACCACAGCATTCAATGGCTTCAACGCCAGCTGCACTTGGTGCTTTGGTTCCCGAACACTCGTTCCCCCTCTTTACCCTCCAACATGCTCTGCCGCTTTCCCGCTCTACCAGCCGAGCCAGGTATTCGTGGAACCTTTTTCCTCATGTATGCTGTGCACCAAAAGCTGGGCATCGTCTTCGCCTTCTGGGAGCCCGCGGTCGACGGCACCAACTCCGAGCTGTCCTCTTCTCCGCCCTCGGACACCGACTGAAATCTTCGGCCGCGACCGGAACAAGAGAGCGCGCGCCCTCGCTGCCATGCATATCGCTTGCCTTTCGCTTTTTCTCGCACACTTCGACCACGCACATCAGGAACCACCCAGACCTCTGCCGTCCACGTCACCAACCCGCGGGATCCTCAGCATGTCCACATTGCATTCCTCATGTTATTTGCATGGTACCTGGCACTTTGTGCGCCCTCCATTTCGGCCCAAGCCCGTTATCCTCCCGACCGCACTCCCTATAGATATCCTACCATGTCAGATTCCTCGGCCGCCGGCCTTGCCATCCGTGCGGCTGTGCGTGATGCAGCACCTGCCCCGCTCCCCTGGAATGCATACCAGCAGTGCATCCAACGGACGGGGGCTCTACTTCGAACTGTGCCTGGCTCTTGCTCCTCTTCAACTTGGCACTTTGACATGGCCTTTCGCTTTGGTTCCGACTGGCACCGTGCTGTGCAGGAGCCCGACCTCGACTCCTTGGTTGCAACGGCTGCTGCATTGGTCCGAGTGAGGACGCCCGCCCTCCCAACTGTCCCTTGTTCCGACACGATCCAACAGCACTTGTCCTATCCGATCCATTGGAACTCCTGGCAGCAGTTGCATGCTCGCATTTGGCATCGATGCCACGCACCTCCCCAGCCACTGCAGCACATCGACTACGAGCGCCACATGCACACCCGCTTCGGAGCAGATTGGACTTCCTTGCTCTCTAACATTCCTCAGCAAGAAGCCGCCCGTCTTCGTCGAGCTCTCCGTCGCTGCCTGGCAACTTGTGCTCCGCCACTGGCTCGCCCGCCAGTTCCGCCTAGCGGCCACCGAAGGCTATCGTTTCGTGGCCTCTTTCGCCACATCTGCTGTGCAGTCGCGGCCCTTCGTCCAAACGAAGTACTTCCTCTACGCCAACTGCAACATCTCCGGCGCCTGTGCGCACGCAGCCAACGGTCCCTCAACCGCACAGTCCGTGTCCCAACCTTGCGGCAGCTTGCAAATCTCCGGCATGTGCCCAGAGGACATCGTCTGTAGCGAGACAAAAGTCCCACGAACATTGTATCATGAGTTTCTTCAGGCCCATTCCGTTGTTTTCACTTTCGGTGTTTGTGATCGTGATGAATCAAACTCTGATCGCCACATGCTGGTCTCCACAAGTAAATACTGGTTTTTCGACCAGCTGCGGCTTCCTTCGTCCCATCGGATCTGCCCATGCCCAGGCCTCACCGCGCTTCATGTCGCATTCGCAGCGTGGGTGTGACGTCAAGCGCGAAGCTCAGCTCGAAGCTGGCTGTTGGATCCAGGTCCCAACTCTGTAGAATTGTACTCTAGAACGA